CCACAAAAGGCGTCAATGACGGTATCGCAACGACAGCGTTCAGCGATTTGGTTTGCTATTTTTTCAGGAGTTACGCTGTACCAACCTTCCTCGTCAAGAAGGCATCCTTCATCGTATAGCGAAAAATATCGATGTCGCTGGTAAAAGTCTATCTTACGAATTGGCTATTCTGTAAGCTTCATGTGGGTGAAGAGCCACGCACATTTTTTGAGATGCTGGGGGACTTGCTTTTGTGTTTTATAATGAGGCGCAGCAATTCTCATTTGTTCGTCGAGTGTGGTTGCAGAAGCACATTTCTCCTCTGCCGAACTAGCTGGGTTAACGGTTTTTTGTTTTTTGAGTGGAAGTGGAGATGCAACCAGGTCGACCGAGTCGCCAAGTTCCTCGTGTAGCTGCGTTTCTACTGTAGCTTGAGCCACATGAACACGCTGGACAATTAGGTCACCCGGATCATTAGGCGCAGATAGTTGAGAGCCAGCCTCTTCCGTAGTTTGATCAGGCTGCGCCGAAAACGCGGCTTTAAGATCAGGAGGTAACGAGGAAAGAACCGAGGCAAACCCAGATTTACGCTTGCGTGCCATCGGTATTAGATGTAAGCACTAGAAAATATTTCGTCCAAAAGTTAGAGACCAGCTAGTTACCGAGGCAAGTGCCGATCTGCTGCAGCGGGATCAAAGTCTGTGGATGTGAAGACCAAGCCGGCGCTTCGAATTATTTGCTGTGCGACCACGTGACTGGCGCGTTCTTACGACGCGACTCCATCGAACCAGGCTCGTAAAATAAAAACTCTCCGTGTATACTCTTCAACATGGCAAGTTATTTAGCATATAAGATCCCCCGGTACTAACTATACTACTCTAGTCATCTCCTGCGCGTCGACGAGCGACTAAACGCGCGCGCTCACCTGATATAGGGTCTTCTCCACCCCCACCCACGCCCGATGACGAGGACTTGCCACCGTCTTCGCCTCCAGCCCCCTTTTCGGATGCAGATGATGACCTCGGTGGGATGGGTGACTATCTCAACTTAGATGGTGGGGATGTACCGGTTGAGGACGAAGACGAGGATGGTGAAGGGGAAGATCTGTATGGCGAGAATCTCATGGAGTAAGTAATGCTCTTATGCGCACTTTATCCTTCTTCTAATAAACCAAAACAGAGACTATGCTCAGGATGTTGCTCTTGATCGATACGACACGCGGGACATCGACGACGAGGAACAAGGAGAAATGACTGCTGAGCAACGAAGGGCTGCCGAGCGCGATATGGCCCTGCGCGATAGGAGAGAAGCTCGACGCGGTCAAGGTGGTCGAGCGGCGCGTCGTAGTAATGCTCCGGACTTTCTGCGCGATGAGGATGAGATGGACGACGAAGATGCCTTGGATGGTGGTTTGCTCAGCGACTTGACGAAGCGCCGTACTAGGAGGCAATACGATGAACGTCAGAATGTTGACGATGCTGCGGGTACAGACGGAGTAAGTAGATAATTCGCTTTTCTGGGCTATCTGACCGAGATCGTATCAGGATGAAGCCTTGCCTATGCAAGAGTTGTCTCAAATCAAGGCAGGCTCTATTGTCGAGTGGCTCGCTACAGATTCTGTTAGGCGATCTGTTGCGAAGTTCTTCAAGCTATTCTTGCTCGAAATGACAGATGAACATGGCGATAGTGTCTATGGCCAAAGGATTATCCAGGCTGGTTCAAGTGCGTATATTTCCCGAAACTTTGGGAGCATACACTAATGACTTGTGTAGTGAACTCTGAGTCGCTTGAGGTTTCCTATGTTGATCTTCTCCAGAAGATGCCGACCCTTGCGTGGTTTTTGGTCCTAGCTCCCGCAGAGATGCTTGCCATATTCGACCCAGTCGCTCTTGAAGTCATGACGATCTATTTCCCTGCTTACGAGCGGATCCATTCCGAGATACATGTGCGTATCACCGAGCTACCGGCATCAGCCACTCTGCGCGACCTCCGAAATGCCCAGCTCAACTCTCTCGTCCGCGTCAGTGGTGTGGTAACAAGGCGAAGTGGGGTGTTCCCTCAACTGAAATATGTCAAGTTTGACTGCAACAAATGTGGCGGGGTGCTGGGTCCGTTCTACCAGGACATCACGAAGGAGGTTAAAGTCAGCTTTTGCCCTAACTGCTCGAGCCGAGGACCATTTACCGTCAACTCGGAACAGGTGAGCATTCACCCTGCACAAGTGATTGAAAGCGCCTAATTCTCCGTAGACGGTGTACCGAAACTACCAGAAAATGACTCTACAAGAGTCACCTGGTTCGGTTCCAGCCGGACGCCTTCCTAGGCATCGTGAAGTTATTCTTTTATGGGACTTGATCGACTCTGCAAAACCAGGAGAAGAAATCGTGCGTCGTTTTGGTAGCGCTCACAACGCTGGTCTAATGGTACCTGCAGGAAGTTACCGGGATATACCGAAATAACTTTGATGCTGCACTCAACGCCAAAAACGGGTTCCCTGTCTTCTCTACCGTGATTGAGGCCAACTATATTAACAAGAAGGAGGACCTCTTTGCTGCGTTCCGCCTGACCGAGCAGGACGAGCGTGAGATCCGGGAGGCTTCACGACAGCCCGACGTTGCTAGGCGGATCATCAAGTCTATCGCACCCTCTATCTACGGCCACGAAGATATCAAGACGGCTATTGCCCTTTCACTTTTCGGCGGGGTTCCCAAGGATGTCAGGCGCAAGCACCGTATTCGAGGTGATATCAACGTTCTTATGCTTGGCGATCCCGGAACTGCCAAGTCCCAATTCCTCAAGTACGTCGAAAAGACGGCTCATCGCTGTATCTTCACTACCGGCCAAGGCGCGTCCGCCGTCGGTTTAACAGCTTCCGTGCGCAAAGACCCTGTGACGCGAGAATGGACTCTCGAAGGTGGCGCACTAGTGCTTGCGGACAAGGGCGTGTGCATGATCGACGAGTTTGACAAGATGAACGACCATGACCGGACGTCAATTCACGAGGCAATGGAGCAGCAGACGATATCTATCTCTAAGGCTGGCATCGTAACTACGTTACAGGCGCGTTGTGCAATTATTGCCGCAGCGAATCCTATCCGAGGACGATACAACCCTACAATCCCTTTCCAGCAAAACGTGGAGCTCACCGAACCTATCTTATCCCGTTTCGACGTTCTTTGTGTCGTAAAAGACAACGTGGACCCAGTTGTAGACGAGATGCTGGCACGGTTCGTGATCGGGAGTCATGTCAGGAGCCATCCGAATGCGTCAGGTGACGAGCAGCAAGTTGCTCTGGCCACTGGAACCACTGTTGACCAAGATGTAAGTGTTTCAGCCAATAAGCTGAGCTAATTGCTGATATCACCTCAGGCGATGCCACAAGACTTGTTGCGCAAGTATATCATGTATGCTCGCGAAAAGGTCAAACCCAAGTTGCACAACGTAGATCAAGAAAAATTGTCAAATCTGTTTGCGGACTTGCGCCGCGAGTCGCTTGCGACCGGCTCGTTCCCGGTGACGGTACGTCTGTTGGAAAGTATGATTCGCATGGCCGAAGCAAGTGCAAAGATGCACCTGCGCGAGTATGTGCGTTCGGACGACATTGATCGGGCCGTGGCCGTTGCTGTTGGCAGCTTCATCAGCGCGCAAAAAACAAGTATCAAGAGGTCGTTGGAGAGGGTTCGTATAGCGGCTTTCTATTGGATACATTGTCTCATGCAATTGGTTCGCAGGGCTTCCGCAAGTACCTGACAAACGCTCGAGACCACCAAGAGTTGCTAGCCTTTTTGCTCGGTCAATTGGTCAAGGACAAAGTTCGAATCTTCCAGCTTCAGCACGGCAGCCCTCCCACTGAAGTGATTGTGCCACTGCTTGAACTCGAAGCGAGGGTATGTCTTTTACTCGAAAGCGTGGCTACATGCTTACAATTCAAGTAGGCCAAAGAACACGACATATTCGACGTTGCTCCGTTCTTGCGTTCTCGCTTATTCTCTGCGAATGGATACAAGAATTCCGGTGCCAATATTGTGAAGACATTTACCGTTTCCAATGATTTGTAATTTCATATGAGGCTCATGGTTGTGATTCTTGGTTTGATGTTATATTGTCGTTTGCGCCTCATGTATAAATGCATCACATGCTAGCTCATGAGGAACGTTGTCGGTAAAATCTAAAAAGAATATATCTTATCGATAGGTTGCCAACTACACATCCACTTTTGTTACCCTCAACCTACACCGGCGTGCAAGTGATTAAGCCACCCACTCTTGTCGCACCACTCCGCATGTATGCGATATTTCCAAGCCATGTACAATGGGGCATAATTTATCAATCACAATCAGTTTACATCATATATTAATAGCTAGGTGAGGTGCTACAGAGAAGGGGGGGGGTCAATTGGGGTCAGGTTTCAAGTCCTTGGGGAAGCAGTCTGAGTATGAGCTGTACAACGAGAATTAAATAGCACTTCAGTCTGTAAGTGACACAAAATAGCTTTGATCAGAAGAAACAAGAACTAGCTATATATCTCCAACCAGTAATCCATTTCGGATGATTCAAAGTGCAACGTACCAAGGCTGAAGTGCTCTTTAATTCTCTCTGTACAGCTCATACTACGACTGCTTCCCCAAAGACTTGAAACCCGGCCCCTATTGACCCCCCCTGCAGCACCCCACCCAGCCACTGATATTGGACACAACCAGTTGAGATTGACGAATTATGTCTCATTGTACGTAGTATGTGTATATACAGCGCTTGAAGATACTGCATGCACGCGGAGTGGTGCAACAAGAGTGGGTAGCTTGACACTTTTGCACGCCAGTGAATCCACATCGGAGATCAAGATTACGACAGGAAAGTACTCGAATTGGCCGTTATGCTCACCATGGGGTGCTTTACAAGTGCATTAAAAAGAGGGGAAAAGGGGATAAAAAGAAAAAGAAAAGGCTCAAACCACATGACTGGATGGGATTTCGGCGTTACCCAACACAAAATGGCGATAGAAAACTGCCGAAAAAAAGGTAAGGGACAGGCGTGGATCGAACACGCGGCCTATCGATGACGTATTAGGTGCGCAACGGCTTACGCAACATAACTGCAATCGATTGCTCAACCACTGAGCTTCTATCCCATGCTTAAGGGTTGAAAACCAAGGTTCATGACTGTTATCGGTCGCTCCTTTATTCACGCGGTCCCTACCAACCGCTCGGCACAATCAATCAGCGTCCCGCACCGTTTCGGCTGACTGGATAATGCGTATGATCTTCCCCCTGCCGAAACCAAAATTCATGGGCACGCGTGCCTTGTCGGCAGTAGCTAGGGAATCATGTGTTTGGTCAGCCCACGCGAAGCGCATGGCTTCAAAAACCCAGCTGAAAGCTCGTCTTTCAGTACTTCCCCTCGGCCTGGTTTACCTTTTGTAAGTTTATGCATCCCGTATGCCCCCCCCCCCCAACTAACCCGACGCTTGTAGCATTCTTTGCGGCTTACCGCTTTCATTCTTTTATTTGGCTTGCTGTGCAGTCGATCACTTTCTCCCTTTACTTGCAACTGGATTGCTACCTTTAACGACCGGGTGTCGCTCCGTTAACATTTCAGTCTTTCTCCAACTCTCCGTCCATTCCCCATGCGCTCTTCGATATTTGCATACGTTGCAGTTGCCCTGGCTGTCGTATCGGCGTCCCCCAGCCGATCTACTATCACTCAGGTTAGTTTGCTCCATGATAACTCGAAATGCGAACTCATTATATGACAGTCCGCCGCTACCTCCACGAGCCTTGCTACCGTCACCGAGACCAAGAACCTGACTTCGACTGTTATTGTATCGGGCTCCGCCCCTCCGAACACTACGACAAGTTCTGCTACCAGCACCATCGCAGTTGCCAATGCTACCTCTCCTGCGGTCACTTCTAGTGCTGCTCTGACCGACCTCCTGTCGTCTGCAACAGCCTGCGGTACGGCTGGCGTATCCGTCATCACTTCCGTAGTCACACAAGTTAGCACCAAGACTGTCGATCATTTCATTACGGTCACGGTGGGAGCGGGCTCTTCCGGAAGTAACTCTGGATCAAAGGGGCAAAACGGCAATCTCGGGGCAACACCCTCCAAGCCTACCGGAGCCCCAACCACCACAGTGCAACAGGTATATCAACCCTCTCGATTGACTGCGCCCAATGCTAATAGTGGCTCTCAGCCTTCTACTCCAGTCGTCACCACGATGACCACAGCCAAGCCTGTGACTACAGTCGTGGTTGAGCAGACTACGACGGTATTTGTGACTTCGTTCGTGACAACGACCATAGAGGTTAAAGGAAGCGCGACGCGCACGCATACAGCCATGGCTACGAGGACTGTCACGAAGACCGGAATGGCCACGCATACACGCACCAAGACATCGACCATGGTGGTCACCCTGACCAAGACCAATGTGAGTCGAGAGCCTGTAATGCTTGAAATCCCGCTCACTCTTGGATAGGCTTCTACCGCGACTGGTTCCGCGTCTTCAACTAGTTCCGCATCTTCAACTAGCAAAGCGGGTGTCAAGGATATCGAAACCACCTCTAGCGCTGCACCGGCGTCCTCGAAGCCGTGTCCCACTGACCCCGTCACTCTAACAGTTACTCGCTCCGCCTCACAGGCTACTAGTACAACTAGCAAGGTCGGCATCAAAGATGTGAACACCTCGAGCTCAACCAGTGTTCGGTTTACCACCAAGATTCGTGGTACAACTTCCTTGCAGATCGCCACGTCCAGCTCGCGAGCGGTCACAGCCCAGAGCTCAGTCGCAACCGATTCGGTGTCTTTTACAACTTCTACGCGCCGTAATGGAAACAGCCAGACTTTGTCTCGGGCGACCACGACCCAGAGCTCAACCACAATCGACTCAACGTCTTCTACAACTTCTACGCGCCGCAATGGAAACAGCCAGACGCTGTCTAGCGTGACCACTACGGCGACTACGACAGCTTCCGAGACCACGACCATAGTGACCACTTCGGCTAGCGCAACAACGACTGCCTCGAGGTTCTCGACTTCCATTATTCGCACCTCTGGTACCGTAGTTCGCGCCAACACCAGGACGAGCACTGCGGGCGCTGCGGCAGCAACTGGCACGGCCGGGGCTGGATCTGGAGACCCACAGACCTCGTTGACGCTCGATCCCAGGGTTATCATGTCCAACTTGGCCAACGACGGGCAAGATACTCCATCCCCCGGCCAGGTACCCTCTCTCACGTCGCGGAACAATTTGTAAGCCGAAACCTGCAGCCTGAAAGAAAGACACTAATTCCACCTCAGCATCAACTTTTGCAAAACGCAAAACGTCCCGCTCACCAACGGACAGCAAATCAAGACCGGCTCCTGCAACGGCGTGCCAATGGGACGTATCATCAGCGTGGACAAGATGCCGTCGTCCAAGTTTGTGTTCCCTCTAAACGGCGGGACGGTCAAGGCAAATACGTCGTTTACGATCAAGATGGCGATCAGGAACCTCAAGACGGGCAACTTTGTCAACCCTGCAACAAACTACTACTCTGCGCCAGCTCAGACGACGGAAGATGGTACACTGATTGGCCATTCGCACGTTGTGATTGAGCTCTTGACTTCAAAAGACCAAACAACGCCTACCGATCCAAGGTGAGTGTGCATCAGCACGAGTTCGCCGCCTCGGCTTACCTTTTGTGTAGGCAATTCGCGTTCTTCAAAGGCATGAACCTGCCAGACGTAAACGGAATCCTGACCGCCGAAGTTACCGCCGGCTTACCCGCTGGAGAGTACCGAATGGCTAGCATCAACTCTGCGGCTAATCATCAGCCTGCTTTGTCGGCGGTCGCCCAGCGTGGAAGCAACGATGATATCAGCTACGTGAGTGTCGTGCTGCAATCAACTTGGTGGTTGTCTGACCTAGGTTTTGTCTAGTTCACTGTTGTGTAATCACTTAGATTGTTGTGCTATGCGGAATGCGATTCGAATCGCTCTTTTATTTTATCTTGAAAATGTATCGCATACATTCAACGGTGATTTGTCGGTGTTGGGGCGTGATACACAATTGAAACCCAACTTGACACGTGACGTCATGGAATCTTAGCCCCTCATTCACCCACCACCAACCCGGAGCTCACTCCTTAGAGATGTGTCTCACTATCAATATTCGATTATCAGGCACGCCTCTCGGCTCGGGTAAGATCAATGTATGCGCGGATTGTAGTGTTAACCTAAAATAGACCAGATCATACAAAAGAGTGATAAAAGTTACGACCAAGAATACAGGGAAACAGAACGAATGAACCACTAATGAAGCAAAATAAAGAAAGGTTTAACTCAACGCCTTTCGGATGTCCTTGCGCTGCCTGAACACGGTCGCGACTTCTCCCATAGTAGTCGGCAAAGGAATCGAGATGGTCGCAATGGGTACGCTGCTCTCCATCTGACGCTCGTCAATCGGACCTTCGCCATCGAGCGCCATCTCGACTGAAATATAGTAGCCCAACCCAAACCCGACTTCCTCGTCCCCAACACCACGCCCGCCTCCGGGAGTCGTCAATTCTGCCATCCGCTCTTCAATCACCAGGCGTAAAACCCCTCCGCCACCTCGCCGCGCAATTGCTACACCCGCATTGCGCGCGCAATATGCAACCATTTGCGCCCATGTGGCCGCCGCAAACGATGCGCGGGCGCCAATGCTCAACATGACGAGCGCAGGGAGCGCGCGGAGTGCGCCACGATGCGGAGGAGACGTGATTCGCACGCGCACGAGCGGAAGAGCGAGCTGCGACGCGCCTGATCCACCGCGCGGCGGATTGGGCGGCGGAGGTGCCAGGGACATTGGCGAGCCCTGAGGACGCAGCAATGGGGAATTCCTTGCATAAGACGCGGGTGAGCCTTGTGCCGGAGTGAGAGGTGATTCCGGTTGCAAGAGTTTAGGCGAGTTTTGGGCGCGTGATGCGGGAGACGGCGCTACTGAACTAGCAGGTGCATATGGTGCAAACGTGTTGGGTGGTGGTGGCCGAGGTGGGAGTTCTCGGCGGTGGGATTTGCGTGCAGGAGAATCAAGAGCCGGGGGAATACCACTGACAGGCGGACTATCCAGCGGGGGAGACGGAGATCGCGACGGAGGATCAACTACTAGACCTAGCGCATCGTTTGAAGGTGCACGTTGCGCAGTGGTGATATAATCCGGACGCGGAGGGGCGCGACGAGAAGAGTATTGCTCGAGCGCGGCTGGCGGAGGATTAATTATGCTAGCAATCAACGCATCATGACGCGCTTGCTCTAAGCGTGACACTTCGTCCGTGGGGGAGCGCGCAGGTTGTAGTTGAGAGGGGGCAGGCAACGTCGCAGAATGAGTAGGCTGGGGCAAAGGTCGAGGCTGGGAGCTGGGCTGAGCGGACGACGTGGGTGCACGTTTCGGTTGTCGTGATAGCTTACTCTTGGGAGCGTTTTCGGCAGGTTCCAGCCCCAAGGCCTGGAGATACGCCAACGCGCTGTCATCACTATCATCCTCTTCTGGAAGTTCTGGACTTGGCTCCTTGGCCCTGGATGGTTTCGCACTTCCCCCTCTACCTCGTGTGTCGTGGGCATGGATGTCCAAATCATCCACAAACGTTCTCGTTGGATACGCGGCACTTTTCCCTCTCTTCGCAGGCAGGGTTGTCGTTCGAGCGCGCGGTGCAGACGGCTGCTCGGGATACCAAGCTAGCTCTGCCGGATGAGTATCCGGCTGCCAAGGCCTACCACGGCGCGGTTCTTCTGGAACATAAGGAAACTCGGAACGATCAGGCTGACCATGTGAGGGATGTCGGCGTTCGAGTTGCTGAGGTGCCTTGGGCATCTGCTGGACACGCTCGCGAAGCGCGTCAAACTGAGGAACTGCCCCTCGCCCGTAGCGAGCGACAAGCTCAGACTCTAGCTGAGCAATCGAAGCCCACATGTCAGGCGTAGCAGCATGAGAGTCTGAAGAAAGGTCGCCATGTGAATGGGTAGCACGGAGGGGGCGGAGCTGTTTCGGCGTCGGGGAGGATGGCGGGGTAGGCATAAGCGGCGGAGGGGAGAGATAGTTGTCCTTTGGCGATGGGGATGCGGAGCGCGGCTGCAGAGAGTGAGCATAGTAGTCGGACACGCCGGGAGGAGAAC